TTGCCCTTCTGTTTCCAGGATGAACAACATAAAGATTATTGTCCTCTTTGTTGGAATTTATTTACTGACAAGGGTACGTATGTTTACGAAAGACAATACGAAGCTTTAATCAAACATTACTGCACTGTCCTTAAATGGCTTCACTGTAACAAAGGCTAGGGTCAACCAGCCTTTCGATGAACATTTTCCGCATATCATGTTTGAAATAAGAGGCCTCATGTCCACAACACTTACCTGAGAAACATTGGCCCTGCTGTATTTAACAAGATACAGCTCATGTTATACCTATCATGTCCCCATCCTACCCCCTGGGTTCATGATTTGTACAAATTGTAATCTACACTATCCTGATATGCTTCCACATTGCCCAGTGGCTATTATTTATCTATTTCTTTCAGGACAAAAAATGGTGTCCCTGCATTATCCCCAGAGAGAATAATTTAAACAATTTAGAAATCTACACTACCATAGTAAACTACCACATATGTGTCAGCTTTTCTGGCCCAGTGACTCTTAAGGAGAATATCATTTAAGATATTTTTCTTTATATTTCAATGTAAAGATTAGATTCCCTATTGTGGCATTGCCTTACCCTCGGGGGTCATGATTTAAACAATTTAGAATTTACTCTGCCATAGCATTCTCCCTGATACCCTCATATGTTTCAGCTTCTCTGACCCAGTGGTTATTTGAAAGAGATTTTTGAGGATTTGTACTATATATTTCAATATACTGGTAAAGCTTGCATTCCCTATTGAGGCCCACACTACCACTGGGTGTCATGATTGTAACAATTGAGAATCTACACTACCCCGTGATGCTTCTGAATGAGATTCACTTTCTCTAAACCAGTGGTACGAAGAAGATAAAAAATATATAAATCATGATCACCTTGGGGGGAGTGTGTTAAAATTCACCCCCCACCTCAGTTAACTTTTAGTAATGATCTGATATGTGCTTTTTCCTAGCCGATGTGCTCAGATGAGCGCTGTGGCCCCTGGGCCTCTTGTTTTATAGAGTGTAAATGTGCATGGTTATTTTCTCTTTCAGACTGAATGTGCAAAGGACAATGGATTATTTTTCTTAGGAAACACTACCTCAAGAGTGTCAACGAAACTTCCAGCAACACAACAACATATTACCATAACCACCCAATCAAATGACATAGCAGCAGGGATACGTTTGCAAGCTAAAAGAGACAAACATTTTAAAAAGTGGGAAGCAAAGATGGTCTTGACAATTGGAACATTGCTGATCTTCGTCACAATGGGTGTTATTGTGTTTTTTATAATTAGAAAATTATAAAAGATGGATTAATATTATGATACGTGTATTTTTTTTATTATACAATTTATAGCTCACCTGATCTGAAAGATCAAGTTAGCTTATCTGATCACCAAATGTCCGTGGTTCGTCCGTCCGTCTATAAACTTTTCATATTTTAAGCTTCTTCTCAAGAACCAGTGGACCAATTGTAACCAAACTTGGTAAAAACATCCTTGGGAAAGGTTTAATTTGTTAAAATCCCTTCCAGGGGGGGGGGGATAATCATAAAAACACGAAGATAGGGAGGGGTCATAGAAAAATCTTCTTATCAGAAACCACTGGGCCAGGAAAGCCGAAACATATGTGGAAGTATTCCGGGGGTAATATAGATTCCAAATCATGACAAATCCTCTCGTGGGTAAGGCAAGTCAAAACAGGGAATCCAAGTTTTACATTAAAATATAAAGAAACATTCTTTTAAAATCTTTTTCTTAAGAACCACTGGACCAGGAAAACTGAAACTGAAACATACGGTAGTTATGTGGAACTTTTCTGTGGTAGCGTAGATTCTAAATTTTTCAAATCATGACCCACATGCTGAAACTTGATTGGAACATCTTTGGATAGTGTATATTCTAAATTGTTCACCCCCGGGGGGTAGGGCGAAGCCACAAAAGGGAATCAAAATTAAACGTTGAAATATAGAGGAAAAATCTTCTTCTTAAGAACCACTGGACCAGAAAAGCTAAAACATATGTGGAAACATTCTGGAGAAGTGTAGATTCTAAATCGTTCAAATCATGACCCCCTCTCTTCTGTGGGCAAGGCGAGGGAACATGCTGAAACTTGTATTAGAGCATTGATACTTGGATGGTGTAGATTCTAAATTGTTAAAATCATGACCCCAAGATTAGGGCGAGGCCACAAAAGGGAACTAAAATTTAAAACTGTGAAATCACATATTTTTGTGGGGTCAAATTTTCGTGGTTTGAGTAAACACTCTTGGTTCGTGGGATTTGGATTCGTGGATATTGTTGAATAGTTATGTATTTAACATTTAACATTTCAGGGTGGACATGAATTTGTGGGTCACTTTATACCTCGAAAATAACAAAATTAACCCACCCCATGAAAATTTGTGGTTTCACAGTATTAGAATATAGAGTGAAAATCGTTTAAAATCTTTTTCTCAAGAAACACTGAACTAGGAAAGCTGAAACTTACATGTATGCGTTAGCATCCAGGGGTAGTGTAGATTCTATATTGTTAAAATTATGATCCTCAATCATAGGGCAAGGTCACAAAATGGAATCAAAATCCAACGTTGAAATATAGAGGTAAATCTTCATTTCCCCCTCAAAAACCACTGGACCAGGAAAGCTGAAACTTACCTGGGAGCATTCTGGGGATTTGTAGACTCTAAATTGTTCACAGCATTATCTTGGAGTCTTGGTGGTACCACGATGAGGAATCCAAATTTTACATTGAAAATGATATGAAAATAATTAAAAATCTTTCTCTGAAGAACCATGCACTGGATAAAGAAAGTTGAAACTTATCTGAAAATATGATGAGTTAGTTTACATTTAAATTATTGAAATCATGACCCCGAAGGTAGGGCGGAGCCCAATAGTGAATTTTAGTTTTACATTGAATTATCAATGAAAAATCTTTTTAAATCTTCATATCAAGAACCAATGGACAAGGAAAGCTGAAATATACAAACATCCTGGGGTTGTAAAGACTCTAAAATGGTTCACATAATTACCGTCGGGGGTAGGACGGGGTCACAATAGGGAGTTCAAACGTTACATTGGAATATATTGGTAAAATCTCTTTATATATTCTTCTTAAATTAAGAACCACTCAACCAGGAAAGCTGAAACTTATGTGTAGGCATCCTTGAGTAGTGTAGATAGATTCCATGTTGTTAAAATTATGGCCCTAGGGCATAGTTTTGGGCCACAATAGGTTTTTGCAAACGGGGATATGGTGGAGAACAGCAAAGGTTCCTAAGTTGAGCATTGTAGCCAATGGGTCTTTAAATTAAATTAAAGATTCATTAGAAATAAAAGAAAAACCAATATTTTATAACTGAAAATATTTACAAATTTTATATCGGTAATTTTAAAGACAACATGTGCATTTTTATTGTTGTTTTTCGAACAATTTAAAAAAAATACTTGAATTTGAAGAACACAATAAAGTTATTACATAGCCTTTTTTCTACCCTTTTAATTAAATACCATGCATGTTTTTAACATAGGGTTACGGCGGAATTAGCCTAATATATATCCAAACTCGTCTATGATGTGGTTTTAAGCATGAAATTAAAACTCTACTTTTAATTTGAATGTAATAAGAAATGACAGAAGTAGTATTATTTTTTCTCCAATGTTTACCATGGATATAAGTCATCTGTTATTTATTTTATTCCACGTTTACCCCTTTATCCTGTGGATATACCTCATGTGATATCGTTTTCGTATCCTACAGTTGTGACGACATAAAGGATTTTGCTACAACGTAATTAAATAAATAGAATGGAGTCTCATATATACAAAACTGTGAAACATTGATTGTGAGGTATTGATTTGAACATATCTTATTGTTTAGATGCTACAACAAAAAGATTGGAGACAAGTTATTAAAACTTGCGTTTATCATAGAGCTTGGTTGTGAGATTACCATTAACTATAAAACTATATCTAGTATAACTATATATAGTATAAGTTAGATTAAAACTCGTTGAATTAAAATGCTTGTTTAAAAGCTGTTGGTCCCCATTATCTATTTAAATTCTATGACATGATATTCGTTCATTATAATTTTGGTTTCACCAGTATGAACAAGTCAACAAAGATTACATTCTATTAATTCCGTAGACAACATCAGAAGATCTGCAATTCAGACTTCCCCAAGTTTTGGTAAAAGAGCTCTGTCTAGTAAGTGTCAGAAGGATTAGATATCAAATTATCGATCATAGGTTTAACAGTTTTTCACATAACATTTTGAACACATGGAATCCACAAAGGAATCTTCAAATATATCTGTAATAGAATTCTCAATTCTTTCCATTTTTGTATGAATTATTGAATAAATTTTGCTCCACAGAAATATTATAGCAAAGAGGAACTCTAACATCCTTTTAACATCGATTTCAGAGTACTTTATTTAGTCTAAGAAGGATTTTAAAAAATAATTTTATATGTAACCAATTCCATTTTACAATTGGACATTTCCGAGTTTCTTTTTTATTCAGGAGTCTGTAATCTTTGATGTAAAAAAAAAAATCCATGTTCTTAATTTTATTTTCTAATTTAAAATAGTTTTATAAAATTTGGAGAAGTGATTTTTATGTTTTTGACGAAGAAATGTTTAAAGACTTTTTTTTTATTTTACAAAAAAGTTTTTAAGGTTTTTGAGAATCCATATTTGATTTACACAATTTTTTGATGATGTAGATTCACAATGTATCTTAAATCTCCTTTGCAAGAGTTAATATATCAGGATAGGAATACCTGACCCTGAAATAAATCTTGGTTAGAAAAATTATATATATATTCATTAAATTATGAGAAAAATGAATACGATTGTAATGCTTCAACCTTGAGCGTGTGACTATACAGTGATGACTTACAAAATCTTGAAGGTGTCACGTGATATTATACCGGAGAGTTAGTGTTGTTTATAAAACACCGGTATTACTCCTCAGGTTCAAGTAATTACTAGGCATGACAAAGGTAAGTCAGAGTACTATTGTTTACATTGACGTTTGAATTTAAATCTCACTGATTTTATGATGTGTGTAACATAAAATAAAGTCCTAACTTTAATATGCAGACTACTTTCGAATACATAAGATTGTATACAGTAGATAGATATCAATTAGATCGATCGGCATTTAGTTAATAGCATTTAAACGCATTTCATTTACCTGTTTACTAAAAAGCTAGCGGTATAATGTTTTAACGTATTCATACACTATATAATTACATTTCAAAAAATGAATTAATTATTGCATATTAAACAGGTGAACAACCACTGCCTTTCGGCCATTGTCCTTGTGATTCTACCTTTATTTGCATTTGGCCAGGTAAGTTATTAATGTCTCGTAGACCAGTCATGTGATGTTTATATAAAACCAACCATGTGGCCTTGAAAACACGTGGGGCGTCAATACGATGCTATGTGATTGGACCGACTTGGAGTCTATAATTAATTTCACGAATGCAGCTATCAGATTAATGCATTTCTTAACCGGACCGCTGGGATAATTTTCATAAATTATTTTTTCTGGCACAATATGAAGTGTTCAATAATTAAAAAAAATGATAAAATGGAAAATAGATTAATGTGGAATAGATTATCATAATCGCGACATCATATGATTAGTTTTAGTTTCATTGACTGTCAGTTTTTTTTTTGAAAATTATTTCATGTTGTTTTGGATAATAAAAAAAAAATTAATATCACTGAAAATAGCCCTAGGACCAATGTAAAGACGAATCTGATCAGAAAGTATAAAAAAGTACATATTAATTATGGAGAATGTGTATCAACTGACATCTATGTGTAATATTACATAAATGTCAAATGGCATAAAAATTGTTTCGACGAAAAACATAGTACTCTTAATTAACAATAAACATTATCGTTAATAAGGAGATATTAACGCGGAGAAAAGATGATACTAATGTCTGGAATAATGTTATTTTTGATAATTAATAAAACATAAGGACTGAAATCAAATGTAATAGGTAATTAATAAAAAGGTATTAAAATGTATAAGCTACAGAATTTATATAAGAAATTTAAACTATATATTGAACTCCTCAAAGTATTATCTAAATATTCACCGTCAAAAATAATTTGAATAAAATTAAAAATAAATCATAAGTTTTATATAATCATACAAAAATTTAAGGACCATTGACAAAAGCATGCATGGTTTTCCCTCAATATTTTGATCTTTCTTCTTTTATTTTCCTTTACAGACCAAAACGTGGTTATTTGCAGTAAGTGGAAATAGGCGACCCTGGAATTTTATGTGAGAATCATAGATAATTTTTTGTTAATGAAAAGTGGAGAAAAATAGTCCAAAAATCAGGACATAACAATAATAAAAGAATTGCTCTTAATTAATCAAGACTTTACTCTTTACGGAAAACAGAATTTATGAAAACACACAATGTTATAGAAATGAAACTTAAGACAGATTATTCTAAATTAAATTAAAGGAAGGCACATTTAATACTAAATTGTATTGATTCTTGTTCAAGTGGCAGCGATGGGGTCTTGAAGGGAGCGGATCTAGATTTGATACAGGCAGGTACGACAAATTCTTTTCATAATTTTTATATATTTGCTTCATAAAGTACATGTACATGTAAATTTTACTACCTATATGTACTAGTCTAATTAAAATGTATAATATCAATAGTGATAATTAATTAGATTACTAATATATGCTTGATGAATTCACTTATTATTCCCCTCTAGTATGTTCAATTGCCAACCAAAAATGCGCCACGACGTTAGCTCCTATAGAAGCCTGTGTACAGACCATTCGTGGTCGGTTTTACCCAGGAGAAGGTAAAACATGATTCTTTATCAGATTATAAAATGCAATAAAAGATACACATGAAAGAGAAACTTAAGTAGGTGTTTAATTTCAATTCAAACGAAATCTAAAGCTTTTCTTTCTGTTTGTCATAATTGTTATTGCATCACATAAATCAAAATCCTAACAATTAATTGCAATTGATTAAAAATTGAAGAACAGATATGGAATTCGTATCTGATGATAAACAAAAAGGAGAATATAATTCTTAAGAGAATTTTTTACTTATAACTTACAATCTGAATTTTTTACTTACAACTTACAATCTGAAATGGTCAATGAAATCTTTTGCACATAAACGTCCTTTATCACAATAAACACTAGGCCTGATGGGAAGATGGTTCGATGCCTGTACTGGATATGTGAGTTCAGTGGACCGTGTCAATGCTTTACAGTTCACTAACGCTATCCGGACTACCACCTCAACATTTACGGTTCTGAAGGGAAATCCAAAAAAGTTTGATCCAGAGGCTTTACAGAATGCTGTGATAGGTAGATGGAGCATTTAATATATAATTTTCTGTAGGATGTTTCATTCACCGATATTCATTGTTTGACTACTTGCGTTATACATGTAAGTTAATTTAAGTTTTAAAGAAATTCAACGAAGTTTTGCTCTGCCATCAGGCGGGGAAAATTATTTATAAAAATTCAGTAGAACCGCTAAAATATGTAATGTTCTCTCTAGCTTTTCGTGTAACTTAAATGGCATATAATGCACAACAACTAAAGATAATGTTATATTTACCAAATGCGTACATCATCTCACTATTATTTTATTTTTCCCAAAGAAAACCGAGGTCGTTAATCAATAGATTTCTTGAGCTATCAATGAAACATCTAATTATTATAAGTATTATTGTTGCCTATTTGAAAACTATACTACAGTGAACATTTAGGGTCCTTATTCCCACGTTATTTGATTATCTATATAAATATAATGAACTATCTTTGGTAGTATGTGAATTAATGTTGCATACAGTCACCAGTACTGTAGAAAAAAATACATAACCCCGCTAGTGCTGTAGGCGAGTTATGTATTTTTTCCTACAAAAGCTGCAAAATTAATGTTAAATATTAGACTTACACATATACGAGGACTATGTGTTTCGAATTCTTTTATTGAAATGAGACATCTTCTACTTTAGTACACTTGAATGGAGCTTTTACAAATGAACAGTGTGCAATAAGAATCGGCTTAGGAAAACCAAAGCAAGTCATAGTAGCTTCAGGAATTAGAGAGGCCAAAGAACTTCTTCTTAATCAAACTGTGAGCATTTTAAAAATTACAATGATTTTAATATAAGAATAAAAATTCTTAGCTTTGTCATAAATCGTTTTTTTATTTTCATCTTTAATTTATAATTTATGCATCAAAATTTAATACAAGTGAACCAAAAATTTGCATAAATTTTTAAAGTTTTGATTTAAAGTAATTTTTTTTTTTTAAAAGTTATTACATAAGTAAATATCCTATGAAAATCCAATGAATCAAAGTGTTGTTACAATCGGACGAGAAATATATAAAAAAATTATTAAAATATTCCAATTATTAGATTAGAAAAGATGCTTCTTCAAATAAATAATTCTTGAATTTCACATGTTCCAGGCAGATGCGTTATTCTCCCCTCGTACAAATTTTAACGACCTGGAGGTTCTACCTGGCCGGTACAGGTGTGACATCAGTGGGGTAGGTATGATGGTCAGGAAAGACAGTGACCTCCCGGCGTGGTGGAACACCGCCTTTGAGGAGTATTATTTGTCGGGGGCATACAACAATGCCTGTGACCAGATCAACCAGAAATACGGAGGTACAGAGTCATGTATTTCTACTGTAATTATACATCCTTATTTTATGCCCAAATTCAATCATATCGAATTAAATTAAAAAACATGATATTATATATTATATGCAACTCATAAAATTCCAAAAGGCAACTAATTTGAAAAGTCTTGAGAGAGAATAAAATTCAAATTTAAAACATTAGGCTATAAAATTTTCGTACCTGCTGAAATAGGCCCTAAAACGTAGGTCCCCCTGCTCAGTTCACGACTATCGGGCCTGTTTACTCCGCTACAAAATGTAGTGCGTTGCATACGTAAAGTGAAAGTAGAATAAATCGTAATACTGTGAAGCCTTTAAAGTGTAAAACAAACAATTTTTAAAAGGAATAACCATCTGAAGGGTTTTATAAAAGATAGAGGGGGTGGAGGGTGGGTGCTGAGCAACATTAACTGCAATTTTATGCGATATATGATATAAAAGCGTTTAACATTTATAGATTACGTTAGGTGACCTGTGGTCTCCCGTAAGATTTTATTCAATTTAATATCATAGTACACATCAGTAGGGGACAACAGTAACGTGATCAGAGAACAAGTAATATTGTAAATCTGTAGGGGGACCAGAGGTCACCTTATATTGTACATCAGTAGGGGGACATCAGTAGGGAGTGCAAAGGTCACCTTATATAGTACATAAGTAGGGGGACCAGAGGTCACCTAAAACTGTACATTAGTAGGGGAACAAGAGGACACCTTAATGTACACCAGTTGGGGACTAGAGGACACCTAATATTGTATATCAGTAAGAGGACCAGTGTGTCACCTTATCTGCTTCTGCTTATATCATACATAGTCAGGGGGACCAGAGGTCACCTTAAACTCTACATCAGTAGGGTGACCAGAGGGCACCTTGCACTGTACATCAGTAGGGGGACCAGAGGGCATATTGAATTCAACATATGAAGGGGAACCAGAAGACACCTTATATTGTACATAACATGCATAAGTAGGGGACCACAGAAAGGGACCCAGAGAACACCTTACATTCTACATCAGTAGGGGGACCAGAGGTCACCTTATATTGAACATCAACAGGGGGACCAGGAGTCACCATATATTGTACATCATTTGGGGGACCAGAGGAAACCTTATATTGTACATTAGCTATAGTAGGGGGACCAGAGGTCACCTTAAATTGTAACAGGAGTCACCTTTTATTGGGGGGACCAGAGGTCACCTTATACTTTATATCAGTAGGAGACATCAGTAGGAGAGCAGAGGTCACCTTTCATTCTACATATGTAGGGGGACCATAGGTCACCTTATACTGTACATCAGTTGGGGGACTAGAGGTAACATAATATTGCACATCATTAGGGGGACCAGAGGTCCCTTTAGGTTGCATATCAGTAGTGGGAGCAGGAGTCACCTTTTATTGTACATCAGAAGGGGACAACAGTAGGGGGACCACATTGAGGTCACCTTATACTGTATATCAGTATTGGACATCAGTAGAAGAGCAGAGGTCACCTTTAATTCTACATATGTTGGGGGACCATAGGTCACCTTTTCTGTACATCAGTTGGGGGACTAGAGGTAACCTTATATTGTACATTAGCTATAGTAGGGGACCAGAGGTCACCTTATGTTGTACATCAGTAAGGAACCAGAGGACACATTAAATTGTATGGGGGGACCAGAGGTCACCTTAAATTGAACATCAGTAGGGGACAGGAGTCACTTTAGTACATCATTTGGGGAACCAGTGGCAACCTTATATTGTACATTAACTGTAGTAGGGGGACCAGAGGTCACCTTATAATTGTACATCAGTAGGGTGACCAGAGGTCAAATAAACTGTACATCAGATGGGGGACCAGAGGCAACCTTATAGTTTACATTGTACATCACCTTTTATTTAACATCAGTAGGGAGACCAGAGGTCACCTTATATGTACATCTGAAATGGGACTAGAGGTAACCTTATATTGTATATCAGTTGGGGAACCAGGAGTCACCTTATATTGCACATCAGTAGGGGGACCAGAGGAAATCTTATATTGTACATTAGCTATAGTAGGGGGACCAGAGGTCACCTTAAATTGTGAGTCATTGGGGGGACCAGAGGTCACCTTTAACTGTATATCAATAGGGGGACATCAGTAGGAGAGCAGAGGTCACATTTCATTCTACATATGTAGGGGGACCAGAGGTCACCTTATACTGTACATCAGTTAGGGGACTAGAGGTAACATAATATTGTATATCAGTTGGGGGACCAGAAGTAGTCTTATATTGCACACCAGTATAGGGACCAGAGGTCCCCTTAGATTGTATATCAGTAGGGGGACCAGGAGTCACCTTTTATTGTACATCAGTAGGGGGACCAGAGGTCACCTTATACTGTACATCAGTAGGGACATCAGTAGGAGATCAGAGGTCACCTTTAATTTAACATATGTTGGGGGACCATAGGTCACCTTATTCTGTACATCAGTTGGGGGACTAGAGGTAACCTTATATTGTATATTAGTAGGGGTACCAGGAGTCACCTCATATTGCACATCAGTAGTGGGACCAGAGGAAACCTTATATTGTACATTAGCTATAGTAGGGGGACCAGAGGTCACCTTAAATTGTACGTCAGTATGGGGGATCAGAGGTCACATTATACTGGTTATCAGTAGGGGACATCAGTAGGAGAGCAGAGGTTATCTTAATTCTGCATATGTAAGGGGACCAGAGGTCACCTTATAATTTACATCAGTAGGAGACAACAGTAAGAGGACCAGAGAACAGCTTACATTGTACATCATTTGTATCTTCTTATATCCTATCAGTAGGGGGACCAGGAATCACCTTATATTGCACATCAGTTGGGGGACCGGAGGCAAATTTTAGATTGTACATTAGCTATAGTAGGGGGACCAGAGGTCACCTTAAATTGTACGTCATTGGGGGGACCAGACAATATACTGTATATTAGTAGGGGATATCAGTAAGAGAGCAGAGATCACCTTTAATTCTAGGTCACCTTATACTGTACATCAGTTGGGGGACCGGAGGCAAACTTTAGATTGTACATTAGCTTAAGTAGGGGGGGCAGAGGTCACCTTATATTGTACATCAGTAAGGGGACCAGAGGTCACCCAATATTGTACATCAGTAGGTCACCTTATATTGTACATTAGTAGGGGACCAAAGGTCACCTTATGTTTTACATCAGTAAGGAACCAGAGGACACATTAAATTGTACATCAGTAGGGGGACCAGAGGTCACCTTAAATTGAACATAAATAGGGGAACCAGGAGTCACCTTAAATTGTACGTCAGTATGGGGGATCAGAGGTCACATTATACTGGTTATCAGTAGGGGACATCAGTAGGAGAGCAGAGGTTATCTTAATTCTACATATGTAAGGGGACCAGAGGTCACCTTATTATTTACATCAGTAGGAGACAACAGTAAGAGGACCAGAGAACAGCTTACATTGTACATCATTTGTGGGACCAGAGGTCTTCTTATATCCTACATCATTAGGGGGACCAGGAATCACCTTATATTGCACATCAGTTGGGGGACCGGAGGCAAATTTTAGATTGTACATTAGCTATAGTAGGGGGACCAGAGGTCACCTTAAATTGTACGTCATTGGGGGGACCAGAGGTCACCTTATACTGTATATTAGTAGGGGATATCAGTAAGAGAGCAGAGATCACCTTTAATTCTACATATTTAGGGGGACCATAGGTCACCTTATACTGTACATCAGTTGGGGGACCAGAGATAACCTTCTTATTGTACATCAGTAGGGGGACCAGAGGTCACCTTATATTATATTGTACATCATTAGGGGGACCAGAGGTCACCTTATATTGTTCATCAGTCGGGGGTCCAGAGGTCACCTTATATTGTACATCAGTAGGGGGACCAGGGGTCACCTTATATTGTACATCAGTAGGGGGACCAGAGGTCACCTTATATTGTACATCAGTAGGGGGACCAAACGTCATATCATATTGTACATCAGTAGGGGGACCAGAGGACACCTTAGATTGTACTGTACATCACTAGGGGGCCAGAGGACACCTTATATTGCACTTTACATCAGTGGGGAGACGAGAGGAACCTTATACTAGTATTGTACAGCAGTAGGGGGACTAGAATTCATCTTATTTTGTATATCAGTAGGGGAACCAGAGGTCACCTTTTATTGTACATCAGTAAGGGGACCAGAGGTCACATTAAATTGTACACAAGTAGGGGGACCAGATGTCACCTTATATTGTACATCAAGTAGGGGGAACAGAGGTCACCTTATATTGTACATCAGTAGGGGGACCAGAGGACACCTTATATTGCACTTTACATCAGTGGGATACTAGAGGAACCTTATACTAGTATTGTACATGTATCAGTAGGGGGACTAGAGGTCATGTTATTTTGTACACCAGTAGGGGGACCAGAGGACACCTTATATTATACATCAACAGGGGGACCAGGGGTCATCTTATATTGTACATGAGTAAGGGGACCATAGGACACCTTAAATAATACATCAGTAGGGGGACCAGGGGTCACCTTATATTGTACATCAGAAGGGGGACCTAAGGACACCTTATATCGTACATCAGTTGTGGAACCAGGGGACATCTTATATTGTACACCAGTAGGGAGACCAGGGGTCATCTTATATTGTACATCAGCAGGGGGACCAGGGGTCACCGTATTTTGTACACCAGAAGGGGGAACAGAGGACACCTTATATTATACATCAGCAGGGGACCAAGGGAAATCTTATATTGTACATTAGTTGGGGACATCAATAGGGGGACCAGAGGTCACCTTACATTGTACATCAGTAGGGGGACAAGAGGGCACCTTTTATGTACATCAATAGCGGACCCAGAGGTCACCTTAAATAGTGCATCAGTAGGGGGACCTGTGGTCACCTTATATTAAACATCAATAGGGGACCAGAGGACACCTACTATTACACTTTAGATCAAAAGGAGGACCAGAGGGCACCTAATATTGTACATCAGTAGGAGGACTAGAGGTCACCTTATATTGTATATCAATAGGGGGACCAGAAGTAACCTTATATATTGTACATCAGTAAGGGGACCAGAGGTCACCTTATATTGTACATCAGTAGGGGGACCAGAGGACACCTTATATCGTACATTGGTAGGGGGCCTAGGGGGTTACCTTATATTGTAAATCAGTAGGGGACCTGTGGTCACCTTATATTGAACATCAGTTGGGGACCAGAGGACACTTAATATTACACTTTTCATGATTTAGGGGACCAGAGGTAACCCTTTATTGTACATCAGTAGGGGGACCAGAGGTTACCTTATATTGTACATCAGTAGGGGGTCAGAGGACACCATATATCGTACATTGGTAGGGGGACTAGGGGTCACCTTATATTGAACATCAGTAGGGGGACAAGAGGTCACCTTATATGGTACATCAGTAGGGGGACCAGAGGTCAATTATATTGT